TCCAATCTAAACTTCCCCTGATGCAGCTTGAGGACATTTCCTCTTGTCCATCAGAGCACAAGCCAAAATCCACGCTCCACAAGCAGCTCATCAAAGCCCCAGCAAAGCCAAGCAGTTTCGCAGTTGTTTGACTAGCAGCGGCACCCAGCCCACTGCCAGCAGCCACGGCCCCGAGCGAGAGCCCTGGGTTTCTGAGCAGGGATGCTAGGCTGCGTTTCCGTGCTGCCTAAGGAGCGGGACGCTCTCCATGTTTAATTTTGCAGATGTGGTTTCATCAAGGAACACTATTTGGGGCTGGCATGCTTGGTAGGAAAGCAGCTTTCAGTAAGGGGGATGGTCCCCACCACCCCAGGACATCCAAATGCACCATTCAGACCCCACCACCACAAGGAAAAACACATGGAGAGCTCAGCAACTCCGCAGGAGCCACAGAGCCAGCTTGGGAACCCCCTCAAAGCTCCACGTGGGATCTGGACTGAAAACCACCCATGGTGCACGTTCCCATCACGTGCCCCTCGCTGCGTCCTCCTCATCCCGCCGCTGGGTTCAGAGCATCGACGCCGCAGCACGCCGGCTGGCAACATCTTCCCAAAGCCCTTTTATTCCACTTTCCTCCAGTTTTTGTCAAGGGGAAGCAGTTGATGAAGCAGTAAACTGGCGTTGGGGGACTTATTTGCACGGGAGGCACAGCGAGATGAGGGTGTGTCGGCATTCGCTTTGCGAAAGTCCGGACAGGGCAGCTCCGGGTTCGGCGCTGAACTTGGCACCAACGTTGCTGCAGCAGAGCTGCTTTGGTGCGGTCAGCTGCCCTCCTCCCCACAAAGATATCTGGATGCTAAAACGTTAAATCAAAACATTATTCAAGGGATTCCTTTTTGAAGCCGAGCACTAAGAACAGCTTCAGCTTTTTATCAGCTTTAGCGGAATGCTACGGCGAGGATTTAAGAGGGGGGCTCTGGATAACGATGCCAGGCGTGGGGTCGAAAATTAATCCAGACCAACGCTGCGGGCGGGCTGCCAAGGCTGGGAGCAGGAGGGCAGGCGTTGCAGGGCTGGATGCCACCCTCTGCTAGCTCCTGTCCCTCTGCAAAGCCACGGTCACGGCCACAGACTCTTCCCCCTTGGCACCGGGAGGACGTTGAAGCCAGATCAGCAATGCCTGCACCCAAACACGGTGCTCGGACACGGTGATTTCCAAAGCGAGCAGAGAAGGCTCCATTTTAGGAGTGTCATCCAGGCAGCAAAGTCCCCGTCGCTGCCGCAGACTTCAGCCTCATGGGTGAGGACCTACCTACGCCTGAAGCGGACACCGAAGCCCAGGGAACATCTAAGCAAGGAGGATGCAAAGGATCGCCTGGGCACCTGCAGCTCTTCCTACATCTTGCTGAGGAGTCGTCTTAGACAGCTCTGTTCCTGGGACCAGCAGAGCCAGCGACGCTCGGGCTTGGCGTGGGGCCGCATCTCAGTTTCACGCGGCTTCTCCAATGCAAGATCTCACTGCAAGCTGACCACCAGAAAGGGCAGCTGTAGCCGTGTCCCCGCCTCTCCGTGAGGAGCTGAACATCCAAGACCACAACCCGATGCGCTGGGCGTCAGGAGAAGAGGGATAAAGCTCAATTCCTTCAACAAGGAGACTGCAGACCTCTTGCAGCCTTGCCTGCAGAACGGAAAACGTGCAACTCTTGCGTTTTAGCACCAGGTAAAAATAGCTTTGTGCTCACCAGGGCACGAAGGAGAGGTTTTGGTCAAGGTCACTGTCCCTCCTCACCCCACCCTGCAGGCGGTTCTCCAGCTCCGTTTGTGCCACGTTAGTCATCCATCCCCCTTCCAACCCCGACAGCTTTCCTCCGACCCAGCCGGCACCCGGATCGCTCCGAGATCATTCCGACCACCTTGTAGGGAAGCCTCTGGAGGTGACCCTGCCACCCTGCCCAGCAGTATTCCAGCAGCACAGCCCCTCCAGCTCCTCACGCAGCTCCACAAGACCTGGCTTCATCTCCACCGGGCTGAATTAGAGACGGGAGCGAGGGGTCCCCGCTGGCCCCGGGACCTCTCGCTCCTCCCCAGCTCCCAGCAGGCCGATGCGGAGCTGACACTCACCGGTGGTATTGGAGTGAAATAAATAAAAACCTCTTATTTCAGCCAGAAACACCGTCTTTGATTTCAAAGCCACTCCTTCAAACAAACACGCTATTAAACCTAAGTAATGTAGAAACACAATTTTCCTAAAAACAGTGGGCTGACGCCCAAGTCGGTCTTAAAATAAACCAAACAACGCAGCAGCAAAGGCAACAGTTGCACAAAACCCACTTCCAAAACAAGGCTCGGCTCCGTGTTTTCACGTTTCGGACCGCCTTGCCAGCTAAGCTGGGCTCCAGCCTCCCCGACAGGATTTTCCTCTAAGGCAAGAGGAAAGGAATTTTCCCCGGCTATTTTTAGAGCCTTGTTCCTCCTCCCAAAGAGATTCCTACCGCCCGGCTCAGCCCTCCACCCACGGCTTTCATCTCCGGGTGCGCAGCCGAGCGAGGCTGAGCTGACGCATCTGGAGCGAGAGGCCGGAGGCAGAGACGCGCGGGAGGCTTGCCTTGACTCAGCTTAGCAGTTTGCAGCGGATCCTGCGAGCAAGCGGCTCCCTCGGCAAGAAGGAGGGGAAGGCATCCATCCAGCCTCCGACTAAATCCTCCTCCTTTAAGGGCAGCGCTTCCCAAGCCAGGCTTCAGCCCAGGCTGTTCCGTATTGCGATATGAGCAGCTCAGGATCTCACTTCTCCCAAGGAACCAGTGATAGGACGAGAGGAAATGGGCTCAAGCTGCGCCAGGGGAGGTTTAGATTGGATATTGGGAGAAATTTCTTCACGGAGTGGCCAAGCACTGGAACAGGCTGCCCAGAGAGGTGGGGGAGTCCCCATCCCTGGAGGGGTTCAAAAAACGGGCAGAGGTGGCACTTTGGGCCATGGTTTAGTGGGCATGGGGGTGTTGGGTTGATGGTTGGGCTGATGATCTTAGAGGGCCTTTCCAATCTTAATGATTCCTGGTTTTACTTTCATTAAAAAAAAATCCATCCCCCAAGCCAGGAAACATGAAATTGCTACTCCCCCCTGAACTGGTTTAGTGGTGGCCTTGGCAGCGTTAGGTGAATGGTTGGACTGGATGATCTTGAAGGTCTTTTCCAACCTAAACGATTCCATGACTCCATGATTCTATGATTCTATGAAATAACAGCTCATGGGCTTGATTTAAGCTCTTGCTGCCTCCCTTCCCGATTTCAAGAATCCCCGCCTGCAGGACTGGAGAGAATTTAAGCCCAGCTTAAATTCTACGTTAAATTTAAGCCCCGTAGACAAGAGATGAGAAACCGATACCTTCTTGCCTCGGCGATCCAGACCTGGCACGTCCTCACTGCCTCTCCCCCTCCGACGTACGCTGATACCGAGGGGTCTTAGCAGTGGGAAGCAGCTTCTGCCGGTACCAGCAGCACCCAGGAACAGCCGGCCAGAGGAGGGTCTCCAAGGGGCACAGCGTCAGTACCGGCTACGCCTTTCGTCTTTAGCATTTACCGATATTTGTGGGGGGAAAGGGTGGTAACATCAGCTTATTCGCAGCCTTATTGGCACCAGGAGCACGCTTTGGAGGGAGAGTTACTGTTTGCCACAGTTTCCAGGGAGTCATGCCAAAATTCAAAGATCAAAAAGGTGCTAGAGTGCAGAAACCAAGAAAAGCGGAGTTTTAACACAAGAACGCACTGGAGCTGCCCAGCCACAGGCAAGTCTGTTTATTTCGGCTACCGATCCGTATTTTCCATTTCTGGCTGGGAAAGGGAAACACGAGCTTACCAGCTTCCCTGGCTCCAGCCGATTCCTCGGGATGCGACGTCCTCCCCTTTCCCGGAGAAATACCGGTGACACACGGGTGAGGCCAGAGAAGTGAGGTGAGGAGGAGGAAGGAAGCTCGCTTGCCCTGTTCTCCTTTCCCTGTTTCCCCAGATTTTAGCCGTACATACTGCCATTAATACAGGACACCAGATTACTTTGGTTCATGCAATAAGCCCTCTTCTACTCAGCATTATTAACATCAGCTGCTTGCAAGATAAACGTTTATTTATGCCAAGAAGTGAACTTTTAGATCCAGTACCCCATTCACAAGCAAGGCACGGAGGAGCGATCCCCGATTTGCCCGACGCGTTACTATCCAAGGTAGCAGAACTAAAGGATTTTGGACGCTTCCCGCCTTTCTGAGTTTAAACGTTTGCTTCACATCCCTAAGCTTTTTGCCATCCAAAACTAAACCTCCAGGATCTTCTCCTTCAGTCCAGCTTCTAGAGCCATGCTGAAGTTGGAGCTTCATGCAAACGAACCCCCAAGGTGGAGGCTGCCACAT